AATGAGCAAAGGGCCTAAACAAAGTAAAGATATTCTTTGAATTATTGATTCAGTTCCTTGTTGAGGTGAGGTAATAATACTTGAAAAATGCATTATCACTTTGCAAAACTTCTTTTTACCTGAGCATCTATTCTTGAAGGCAAACTTTACATGGGGCAATGAATTTTATCCAATCCCCCTTTCCCAGGAGTTCATGTTTCTGGGTTTTCTTTATGAGTTTGCTTTTTATATTTTCAGGTTATGTTTGAGAAATATGGCTTTGCAGGTGTATACATTGCAATTCAGGCAGTATTGACATTATATGCTCAAGGTGAGGACAAAAATGCACTCAAATCATAAAGATTATTCTTTTTCATATGTTAAAAGGCAGTATTAAACTTAAATGTATCTTGTAAAGTTTCAAAAAGTAAAAAAAAAAAAGATCAAAAATGGTTGAAATTTTATTTACTTATTGCCTTTGGATAAAAAGGTTTAAAAGATTATAATACTAACATCATAAATAAAACACAGAATAAGGTTTAATTGAATATATGTGTTTATTTTTAGGTTTACTAACAGGGGTGGTTGTAGACTCCGGGGATGGAGTAACACACATCTGTCCTGTGTATGAAGGATTCGCCCTGCCTCATTTAACCCGTAGATTAGATATCGCTGGTCGAGATATCACTAGATATCTAATTAAGGTAAGAAGTCTGAAATAAAGAATTTAAAAGTAAGTCAGTTGTTTCAAAAAGAAAATGGAAAAAATTTACATTCGTTTAAATCTTTCATAAAATTTGATTGATTGATTTTCATTGTCAAACACAAATCACCAGAATCTACCTTCATGACATGTTCTGTGTTCTTTTCTTTACAGTTGCTATTATTACGTGGCTATGCATTCAACCATTCTGCTGAATTTGAAACTGTTCGAATGATGAAAGAGAAGTTATGTTATGTTGGATATGATATTGAACAAGAGCAAAAATTAGCTTTGGAAACAACTGTGCTAGTCGAATCTTACACAGTAAGTCTTATTGTGATTGTATTTTCTGTAAAACATATACTTTTGTGCCAAAAGAGTTTTTTACTTTAGTGGAATCACAATTTCTGTTCAATCCTTGTGTTGAAAATTATGCAGATTTATTGGATTGTCGTTACGTGTCCTTAATGCATTTTAAGTATTCTGTGACAAAGTTGCTCCAAAAAAGAAATTGTGACCATTCACATAGCTTTAAGAAATTCCAAAAACCATTTACACTAAATAATATGTCTGATGGAGAAAATGTTCATTTCAGATCATATTTCTATTGATAATTAGTCCTCTGTGATTAAAAGATTCAATATTTAATACAAGGAAACTAACCCAGAATATTATTGTTTTGGTTTGAATTCAGAATTGAAAGTTGTCAGTTGTAACGTTAAAAACTGCTTTTTGAATTTATTTGTGTATTATTTTCAGTTACCAGATGGTAGGGTAATACGGGTTGGAGGTGAGAGATTTGGTGCTCCTGAGGCCTTATTCCAGCCCCATCTTATCAACGTGGATGGCGTGGGAGTGGCTGAACTTCTCTTCAATACAATCCAGGCAGCTGACATGGATACGCGACCAGAGTTTTATAAACACATCGTCTTATCAGGGGGCTCCACCATGTATCCAGGACTGCCCAGTCGACTAGAGAGGGAAATTAAACAGCTTTATTTAGAGAGGGTCCTGAAAGGGGATACCACTAGGCTGTCTGTAAGTTTTTCTTTTGAAGATGTATTGATTAATTAAATTGTTTCCTGGTTTGTTAGGTTTTTTGTTTTCCACAATGTGTGAATTGTCAAGGAAGCTTATACATGAATGTGTATTGAAAAGTGATTTTTTTTTTGACTAGGCAATGCATGTTAAATTTGCATGTGTTTCCGTGTAATTTTATTATCAATGTTTGATCAGACTTCATTTATGGGATTAGAAAATCGCTACTAGCTTAAATTTCATTTTAAAAAACTTCCTGATGTGTAGAAGGAAATATAACATACATGTATTATGGATGTTCTACACAAATGTGTATTGTAAAACAAATTAAAAATTACAAGCTTTATTGTTATAAATATTTTTTATAGAAATTCAAAATCAGGATAGAAGATCCTCCAAGAAGAAAGCACATGGTGTTCCTTGGGGGCGCTGTCTTAGCTGATATTATGAAGGACAAGGAGAGTTTCTGGATGACGAGACAAGAGTACGAAGAAAAAGGAATCCGAGTGCTGGATAAACTGTTAGCAGGACCACAGTGATAAATCTAACACTAGTACCTAACCAAATTCCATTCCACAGCACACAGTCTCATGGCTACCATCCTCATTTAGGGATTCATTTTAATGTCTGAGAAATAAGGGTAGATGTTCAGGGGTTTAATTTGATATTTCAGATTTTCTGTAAACATTTTTAAGCAGAAATTTTAACTTGTATGATTTTCTCTGACATGAAAAATAGACGTATCTTTAATGATCTAGCTCCTTTTATAAAGGTAATGGATATAATGTAAAAATTGACAAAAAATGTCTATTGTTTTTGGATATATAAATTGCTAAACTTATAATGATATGTATTTTTGTTGGCTTAAATGTCATTAAAAATTTATGCAATAATTGTCAGAAATAAATTTCATTAACTCTATGAATGTATTAATTATCATGGTGCCTTTATGGTTTGGATAAAAGAATGGGTGCATTAATCATGTGATATGAGAAGTGGCGTAAATATGCGTAAGTTGTGGACAGCAATCATTATATTTGTACAGAATGAACAAATCCTAAGTAGGGTGCTATCTACTCTACATATTATGTTTTATTTATATACTGATGGTCAGTCTATATCTATCTTTTTCTGTGTATTATAATACGATTTATCATGGATATAGAAGATTTCAAAGTATTTGAATGTACACTTGAAGCAGATTAAATTTTATCAATTATGTAAAACATATTCTATGTAAATCTATAAAGTGTACATTTTCTTTTTGTTTTATTTTTTTTTCAATACCATGTCTAAAAATTGATATAAACATTTTATAAAGGTCACATTTTTTGTTACATTTACTGATGCAACACAGCAAATGTATGAAAAAACAATTTGTAATAATTATTACAAAACAGAATAATATTTACAATGTTTTGTCTCATCAGAGTCTTTGAGTTGATAAACATTGGTGCATGGTTTTACTGTATCATGCAGCATAGTCAGTGAATCCAACATTGCTAGAAATTTTAGATTAACCTATTAACATTGTATTACATTTGCTAGAAATATTTTATATTTCAATGACATGTATGTTCCAGTCAGTGTCAAAATGAGTGAATTCCAAAGCAGATGTTTTAGTACCTTGATAATAGCAATATTTAAAAAGAGACATATATAAATGTAAAAAAGGTCAAATATTATTCAACAAATTTTTAATAAACTTAAAAAATGAATTGTGCTGATTTGTTGTTTAACCTTGAGAAACGAGATTTTGAATTTGCAGTATGCACTGAATGAGTTCTAAAATGCAGTTAATTACTAGTATATCTTGTTACATTATTTATTCGATATCTATTTAAATTTGCTCTTGCCCATAGTGAAAACAATCCTTAAAGTTCAGGAAAACTGGACTCAGGCAAAGTATAAATGTCATATCTTGTGGACTGGAAGAGAGAATAATACTTATAAGCTTTGTATTTTATCTCTTTCCAAGGATATTGGATCAGAACAGAATTAAGATTAAAAAAACTCTTTTTCTGCAGAAAATTCCTTTGATCAAAATTTAAATAAAGGGAGAAATGATTAGTACCAATTTTATCAAGATGACAGGTTTTTCACCTGATAAGATAATTGTATCATGAAACAAAAGATTTATGTGAAATATGAATAAACTCGACAGCATGAAAAGAAATTCATTATGTAAAAAAAAATACAATGCAACATACTGGTGCATTGTAAAATGCTTTCTTTTTGTACAGTGTGCCTTCATTTGATTTTTATGCGCCCGGATCGATTGATAGTTACGTTGTTTTTGTCCTGTCGTCAACTTTAACCTTTTTAACCATAACTTTTTAACCGTGAGACCTTATATATGGTATGCATACTTCACTAATTATACCCCACGCAACAAGTTGCGTGAGGTATAATGTTTTTGACCCGTCCGTCAGAGTGTCAGTCAGTCCGTCAGTCCTGTTTTTTTGTCAGCGCAACTCCTCTTAAACCGCTGTACAGAATTTCATCAAACTTTGCAGATATTTAGAACACAATGTGTAGATATGCATATTACCAGGAAATTCCGATTCCTTTATTTTTTCCGGGAATTTCCGCATTTTTTAACTTAGATTTTTGGCCATACCTTGGATTATTATAGAGATGAATAGTTTGTCAGCGCAACTCCCCTTAAACTCCTGCACAGAATTTCGTCAGACTTTGCAGATATTTAGGAAACAATGTGTAGATGTGCATATAACCGGGAAATTCCGATTCCTCTATTTTTTCCGGGATTTTCAGCACTTTGAGTTTTGGGGGAGCGTGGGGTAGGTGAGCTTGCTTACTTTTTCTTTCATTAAGCTCTTTCAAATGACACCAAGGTCAATGACCTTGTGACCTTGACTGTGACCTATATGCCAAAAATAGCATTTTTGAACTTTGTTGCCGCCAGGCGCATAGTGTTTCACAAATACATCTTGTTAAAATGTGTATTGAGTCTAAAATGTTCATTTAAGTCAGCAGATTTGAATTATTATGACAGAAAAAAATCCATTATTTGTGCATGTATGCTAGTATGCTCTTAACTTTACTGGAGTAGAGATAAAATCGATTTTTGCACCTTGCAATCGAATTTAAAAATTGTTGGTTTCAAAAGAAGACCCCTGAAATTTTTCTTTTCTTATTCGCAACCTTTCTAAAATTGGTTGTGCACATTTTTCTTGCACTAACGTGAAGTTGGTCACTACCAATGGTTGTCAGTGGGGTTGAAACTCGTAGCTTCAAGTCGTAGTCCATTGGACTATAAGCTAGTAGTGGTAGTCGGTAGGGCGGAAGCTGAAAGCTACCAATGGCAGTCAGTGGGGTTAAAGCTAGATGCTACCAATGGTGATCAGTCGGATGGAAGCTGGTAGCTACTTGGTACCTGGAAGAAGCTGCATGGTAGTCAGAGAGGTTAAACCTGATAGTTATCAATGTTGGTCATGGAGTAGAAGAAGGTAGCTTCCAACTATGGTCATTTGAGTTAGAATTACTAATGGGATTGTATGTACCAATGGTAGAAAGTGGGGTTAAAACTGGTGGCTACGTGGTCATTGGGGTTAAAACTGGTAGCTACAAGTGGTGGGCCATTGGGTTCAAGCTGATAGATATCAGTGATGGTCAGTGGAGTTGCAACAGCAGTGATATCCATGTTTGTCAAATGATGAAGAGTGATATGACTGGTATCCCTATCCTCTTGCCTAAATGGTGGTCAACAGTGTTGAAGTAAGTACCTACCAATGGTTTTCAATGGAGCTCAAGCTGGTAGCTACCAATGGTGGTAAGGTTTAAGCTGATGGCTTTAAGCTACCAATGGTGGTCAATGGGATTGAAAGTGTAATTAGTGGGGTTGCAACAGTCATGGTATCCATGTTTCTCAAATGATAAAGAATAATATCCTTATCATCTTGCTGAAAGTCACTTTTGCATTCGTATCAAGTCCACCACGTCCGATCGTTACAGCTTTACATACGATGCAATCCCGCCGTAGTCATGTAGTGTCAGTTGAATGTCATTGCCTCGTATAGAAAATATTTGCCTATTTGTTAAACTTGGCACATCGTTTTTACTAGAAGAAACGAAAGTCTTGATGTTTTTTACAATTATATCCAAAGAACCATCCTGTTGAATTCACTTTAACTGCCCTCTCCCGTACGTTCAAACGCTGCCAACCATTTACAATATCTACAGTCTCCTTTAAAGTCATCATTTTGTTAAGTTCTGCTGTCGATACAATGACCTTGTCAGCAAAAACAATTCATCATTTAGTCAAATGCTGAATGAAGTTTTTCATACTAATTGTTAGTCCATTATTTATACACTGAATTGAAAACGGATTTTCCTCTTTTTTTAGCACAATGCGGGCGTGACCGGTTGGTAGGGGATGCTCACACCCCCATGACACCTGATCCAACCTCTGATGTTTTGGAGGTCCGTGTTTGTTCCGCTGCTATTTTGTATTGTTTTATGGATTTTTAATCTTGAACACTGTTCGTTATCTCCATATGTTTCATTTGTCCTTACGAATTTTTTTTTACTTAACCGAGTAAAACCTAATTTATTCTACTCAGAAGTCAATCTGTGCCTTCTACCTAAATGAATTTTTTCTTGAACATTCTTTTATCATGTTTTACAGTATTAATGAATCTAAAGAACCAGTCTGTGTTACATCGCAGTTGTGGTTGTTGATCAATTAAAAGATTATTTGTAGAGAATTTTTCTTCAAGATCATTGAACTCTTTGGAATACTTAAAAACACAGTGTCATCCATCAGTGTTTGTTGCGTAATGGGTAACGCATTGGACCAAAGGCACTTGACATTTTTCTCTTCACTACTAATAATATTTCCAAAGAGATATCTTTTTCAATGAAGAGAAAGATTTAAATTGTCAACTGTTTGTGGGTTGGACTGACGTTGTCGGGATTGTGAGTTCGATCACTCAGCGTGGGTGCTTACACATTTTCTCTACTTAAAACAGCCGTGCACTTTTCATCATACACTGTATAAATTCTTAGAGCATTATGCGAAAATAGGCCGGTATATTTAGAGAGAAACTGACAGTCATCATAATTTATGAGCCAAACAAGAATTTTCACTCCTTATCTGTTATCTACAGTTCTGTATCCCACTGTGTCTCTTAAAATGGGATGGACGATAATCCTAATTTGAATTTTTAAATCAATAAGTTACAGATTTGTATGATTACCTTGGAAATAACTACATCAGATTGACGACTTCAATACACTGCGTTTGATTGTCAATATTATACCCGCCTTGTCCAAAAAAAAAGTTTCGGGTATAATGTTATAACCCTGGTTTGTATCACTTTATTATTGAACACCGTTGCATTCCTCTTTGAATTCTGTTGATGAAAGTCACTTTTTGGTGAAAAAGGGATACTAAGATTCTATTTCAAAGTCATCATTTCGCTGGTTCTATGGTCGATTCAATGGTCTTATCAAGAAAAACTAACCATCAATTCAAATATTAGACAATTATTTGCACATTCGAGTTTCTACAGACTTTTTCGTTTCCCTGATCATGCCAAGAAGCACACGGCGGATGTGATCGGTGGACAGGAGATGTTTACTCCTCTATGGAACCTGATCCCACCTCTGATGTTTTTGAAGCTAGTTCCGTGTTTCCTTTGCTCCGTATTTTTGTCGTTTAAATGAACCTCGAGTTTGAAAATTGTTCGTTATCTCCATATCTTATTCTTTTTCCTTTGAATCAATTTCAAGCAATTCTGAAGAAGGCTTTTCCCTAAATACTGCACGATTACCTTATCTAATTTTAAGCAGCATCAAAATTCTTCACTCTGCTGTCTCCCGTTTTAGAGTTACATTTCACTCAAACGTGTTTATAATCTACTAATGTGTCACTTTTGGGTAATAAGACTTCTATAAAGAATATGTCAAGTTTAATAGGTATTCTAATCTTTTGAATATTTAGTGACATTATTATCATTGTGCCAATGCCAAATAAAGGTGCCTGAATATCAAAAGTGGCAAATTTCAGATTTTCTTTTACAGTTACAGTGTAAATTCTTATTTCGGTAAATGTTGTTTTTAAAATACATTGAGAGAGGGTCTTCCAACGCTTGAATTGGACCTTGAGAGAGTCGCCCAATGTTTGCATGGTACATTTGAGGGAGTCGCCCAAGATCTGTATTGGACCTTGAGAGTCGCCCAAAGTTTGCATGGTACATTTGGAAGAGTCGCCAAAGCTTTGTACTGGACCTTGAGAGAGTCGCCCAATGTTTGCAAGGTACATTTGAAAGAGTCGCCCAAGGTTTGTATTGGACCTTGAAAGAGTCGCCTAATGTCTGCATTGGATCTTTAGAGAGTCGCCCAATCTCTGTATTGGATCTTTAGAGACTTCCAATGCCTGTACTGGACCTTGAGAGAGTCGCCAAATGTCTGGAAGATTAAATCAAATAACCATGAGTAATTTGCCTCGTAACCCTTTTAGTGTATGGACTATTTTACTCACAACAACCAGTTTCTTATGATGTTGAAATTAATGATGACCGCAGCAACTCGAAATTAACCTATTTAATCCCTACGTAACTTCTCACTGGTACAAAGTTCGCTTTTGGGCATACATTCATTAAGCTTAAGCACATAATCATGTCCTGTCTTTTTGATAATGAACATCATTTGGCACTAAGCTTATTTAGAATAGACAACCATCAAAACCCTCCATGTTACATTTTGTGGTCTAGCAAAGAAATACAATTGCCATAACCTGTTTCTTTCTTTTTATTAATGATAAACGTATCGTCACTTTCTCCATGGCCAGTAATTTAAACAGTTTTTGTCTTGTTCTCTTCCACCGGTAACTTCGCAGTTGAACACACAGGCTCCTCCATTATACTGTTCGTAGGTAATTTGACAAAGCTTGCAGTAGTCGACACACGCCTGGATTCTAATGGCGGAATCTCTTTTGTTATTGCCAGTTAGAAACTTACTGCAGTGAGGGTCTGTACTCCCGAGGAAACAGTTACTCTGGCAGAGTCCAATATCGTATTCCCCATCCGCTATGTCTCTGCACTCATCACATAAATCCAAGCACTGTGGCACTCGTGCCTCAGAGAATGTAAATGACATGGCTAGACTCAGAAAGAAGGTTCTCAAGGGTGTCTGCAAGAGATCAGAGAGTATACGTGTACTGAGAGCTTTTGCCACCTCTTCTGAATGGGAATATACTGTACATTTTCATAATCTCGGAAACAGTATTGTGACTAAATGAGGGCTACAGTTTCGAGTTTTTGGTCGGTGTACATGTTTTGAAGTACCTTAGTTAAAACGAAGAACTTTGTGTTATAGTGGTCATTCCAGTGCCCCCCCCCCCTGGAAAGTTACTACTACTATTTTTAAGTTAGGGACATGGCTTTTAAGCTACCTGTTTGTATCTTTGTTCACAACTTCATCCTTCTGCACACTATTTCCCCCCAAATTAACCGACATGACAAGAAATTAGTGGCACAAAGGCAGTATAAAACCCGAAAAGTTCTCCTCAGTCTAACACATCATTGGACAAGGTCAATTTCAAGAAATTCCCTCCATTTCTTTCTTTGCAATATAGCCATGCGACTCAAACTTTGCTCAAAGGCAGGCTATCAAAGGATGTATATGACTCCAAACCTTTTATAATCTGAACAAGATAATGTAAGGTTTAAACTACTGGATCACTCTTGGTACACTGGACACATTTTTTCACACTCATTTTATTCTTTTGAATTCAAATTTCCCAGGAGAAATAATATATAAACGACAAAAGCAAATAGCTTTATTATATGTCAACTGAAGTTCAAAACATTTCACAGTTGTTAAAAGTTTTACTTTTTGTATCACATCAAACATAAGTTAAAAGCTAGTCACATGTACATTTGTAGTTGAAATTTCACAAAAATATCAAAAAATAACAAAATCTAGCAAAAGGAGGTATTTGCATGTCAATAAGTAGAGAAAATGCTCCTTAAAATCCACAGGATTTTCGTCATCACTTGTTACATTCTTGCTACCGTTAAGGAAGAATTCCTTAAACATCAAACTGCTAAAAATCTTAAAGATAAAACCGTCAAAACGTTTTAATATTTTTACCAATAACTTATACAGTTCAGGTCCATTTTTAATCCCCCGGATGCCTGACACTCGTTTACACATTTACTCCCGTTGTATTCTGGGTATGTGAGTTTGCAGTAATAGCAGTATTTTTTACATTCAAGAGCGCGTTTTTCAAAACTTCTTTTGAATGTGGCTGTGGAGAACATACTACACTGATAGTCAACTCTTCCTTTTAAACAGTTGTTTTGACAAGAACCAATATCGTAATCATCTGTTTGATCCTTGCATTCAAAGCACTTCTGGAAGCAGCGTGGTACTAAAGCAGCATTTAAGAAACCGATGCATAGAGCGAGACAGAGACAATTCAAAACAGCCTGAAAGAAAGAAAAAAGAGAAGTTTGAAAAAAACAGAAAATTAAGAAAGCAGCAATTAACATTTTCCCTAGTTATTTCGTAATTTAGAAAATTTAGAGGGAAAACTCTCAACTTAATGTCCTAAATTGTATACGATATAATACAGTTTTCATTTCTTATGACCAAAAATGAAATTTAAAGTATGATTATATTAAGTGTATTTATTATTTTTAAGACTCAGGGCGAATTCATATTACACATGTATTTAAATTGTAGGGTTGTAAAACTAAAAGGTGTTGAATTTTTTTCAAATGTTAGTTTTGAAGCCATCATATTGTATGCATCGTTTCGATTAGACGCGTATTAGCCGGAAAATATGAAAGCTGGCGAGTGCTGGGAACTACCATTTTCATCAATTTTTCAAAAATAACAAACAGCAAATATTGAATCGTTATTCCTCAGAAAGACAAATTAAGTAATTTTTAAGCAATGACAAGCTTATTTTGAATAAAAAACCATTATGATTATTTTTCGTTCAGGAAAGTTAACTAGAAATGAGAATGGTTGCTCCTGGCACTTGTCACACAGTTTAACTGCAAACATTTATAAATGGCTTCATTTGTAATCGTCCAATAACGAACGCAATTAAAGCTAATATCTTTTATTCTGAAAAAAAAAATTCCAAAGTTATTCTTTATATTTTGGGCATTCACATTGTACATACATGTTCGCTATAATGTTCCTTTCCTGTTGATAATTTTCTACATTCTTCGTTTATAATCATAGTATCATTTATGTTCCTAGACTTTAAATCAGAAGACATTGTCAGAAGTTTAGAACATATATTAAATGACCAAAATCCTTTTGTTTTTTAAAGAACAAATCTTATTTTTAGCTGGTACTTCCTCAAAGTTTGAATCAGAGGAGGTTTACAGCATAATTTTTTGTATCATAAAATTGCATAAGATTCTTCAATTACCCAAACTCTTATTTTATACAGGGACTTGGAAAATAGTGTTTAAAACTAGACTGATATTCTCTTACCTGTAAGCAGTATTAGTAATATAGCGAAACCTGCTTTTGACATATCTGACCGAAAATTCTTGAATCAATGTAACAAAAACTTATTGAATCGCGCTGCAAATGTCTAAACCAAATAAGATTTGAATGATTCTGATTTTTTTTCGATTTTAACTAGTTCTATACGAGATAAATTCTAATGGTGAAGTTCTAAATACTAAGTAAGTAAATATTGGATTCGAAACGTACGGTATTTTCAGGTCAAAGATAAAACGATTATACGAAGGTGTGTTCAATTCCAGATGAAGCAAATAAGGACCAATAAGGAAATAAGGAATAGTTTGGCCAAATAAGGAACAAGTGAAACGACAGCAGAAAAATATAAAATGGTTATAGGGAAGATATAAAGAGACTTTTGGTAAGAAATGAATAAGAAGTAATACATACGAGCCCATTGTAATACATGTTGATTTGTATTTTAGGGGAAATAATGGCTTGTTTAATGTAGCAAATTCAAGATTTGACAATTTGTATGCCCATTGTCAAACTAAATCGCAACAGATATCGTATTAATATACATGTATTCAAATCTAAGAGTTAAAATATTTATGATTAAAGGAATCGAAGAAAATCTTACGATAATTTGATTTAAACTTTTCTTAATACGATTTAATAGGTCATCATTTAAAAACTCATTTATAATAATGTTGAATACAGACTATAAAAGAACAAAAATAAATAAAATTCTCTTAGATCAAGATTTTGTATGTATGGGTTATTTCATTTAGTACATAATCACTGAATAGCTTAAAAACAAATTCATTTTTCATATACAAAATCTGATAACCTTTACCCTAAAATTTTATTATGAAGAGATGAAGAAATGCAACATACACTCTAAAAAGAGACTTGAAATCAAACAGATTTGACTTCTTGACCTTGAAGTTTGGCCATCTTTTGCAAAGCTTTATCAAACATTAATCTTAAATGTACCTTTTTGAATAGTTAATGTTTGGACTTTCATACTTCACAGGACTAGTGTATTCATAGAAACCAGACTTTTCCATGGGTATGTGCATATTTTTTACCTTAGAATCTGACCCCCTTTTGTAAAACGTTCACCTTTGCTTAATAACTGTTGAACATTTGGAACTGGGCTTTCAAATTTTACGTGTGTTTTCCTTGTGCCAATACCTTTCCCTGCATATAAAAATTTTGACCTCTTGACCTTGGAGTTTGACCTACATTTAAAAAACTTTAACCTTGACCATAACCTTTGAACATTTGATGCTAAGGCTTTTCACCTATGTATTTCAGATTACAAGATCTTGCTCTGGGTACTATCAAATGATCCTTTTGTCTTGACCTTGGATTTTCACGCACTTTTAAAAGGACTTTAACCTTGTCCAAAACTTATATACATCAAGTCATCGTTTCGTAAGCTCTATGGTCGATACAATGACCTTGTCAGCAAATACAATTTATCATTGAGTCAAATGCTGATTGACGTTTTTCATACCAATTGTTAGTCCATTATTTATACACTGAATTGACGACGGATTTTTCCGTTTTTTCACGATCATGACAATGAGCACATGGCAGGGAATGCTCACTCCTCCATGGCACCTGATCCCACCTCTGATAATTTGGAGGTCCGTGTTTGCTCTGTTCCTATTTTGTATTGTTTTATGGACTTTGATACTGAATACTATTCGTTAGCTCCATATCCTTCCTACATGTAAGTGTACAGGTGTATTTACCGAGGCAAGTGCAATCTTTGATTTAACATATCTTTTTTTTTTTAATTGACCTTGGAGTTGGACTTGCATTTGAGAAAGTTTAACTTTCGCCAAAAGCTGTCATACTGGGCGTCAGTGTTTCTCAAACACATCTTGTTCTAGATGAATTCGACATTTTTTCTAATTCTGTCATTTTGTTCAACCAAGAGACCGGTCCTTCTGATGAGACCCTATAAACCCAGACTCCGTGTCGCAGTAGGTACTGGCTAGAAAAAGATCCCTCACTGCTCGATGGCCCTGGGTGCCGAGTATAGGACAAAATCTGTAGGTCTCCACCGACAAGTTGTGGCGTCTCCATAGGAGTGAAAAATTCTCGAGAGGGGCGTTAAACAACATACAATCAATCAATCAACCAATATTCAAAACAGGCCAGATTGATTGAGCAAGGAGGGATCTATTTCGTGTCAGCACCTACTGCGACACGGGACCTCGCTTAATATGGTCTCATCCGAAGGACCGGTCTCCACGTCCTACAGTGGGATTCGAACCCGCGACATAAGGATAAACTCCTTACTTCGCGACTCTACAGCAGACGCTCTAACCACTGCGCCACGCGAGTGACTCAACAATGTTGAGTCAACCTAGACCAGAATAAAAAATCAAAAAAAAAAAAAAAAAAAAATAGAAAATGTTCTCACTTCCGTTAAAGTGTTCAACTTAATTGAATTATTTTTTATAGTGACCTTAGTCGTTTATTGGCAAATTTTGAAATAGAAGGTAATACTCAACATATAAAGTACTTCATTTTGAATATTTATATTGATTAGATTAAATATTTTGAGTGGACACGCACAAGGCGAGACTCGTGTAGCACATTCGACTTATCCTCTTTTACAAACATGACGAATACTTTAAAAACCTATCCGCGTAGTTTATCTAGAAAACGTGTATATGTTTTATACATGTATATTATAGATAATACTGAACTTAATTTAATATAGAGATTCAGCTCCCAGATAATTAAGTAAATTAATCGAGAAAACGTGTGATATTAAAGGCAGTATAAACATTAACAGAAATGAATCATACTTAAGTAACAATCACACTATAAATGGAAAATGGAATATTATATTACAAAAATTGAATGTTTTTTGAACACAACAAATTTATTATTTTAAAACTTAATCGCTTTTTAAACACGTTTGGTGATTTTTTGTATAGAATTAGGATTGGTTTTCGGAATTTATCTTTTAATTCTGTTTTTTATGACACGTTTAAGTCAAAATTCGATAAAAATTGTGAATTTTTTTTTCATTCCAGACAAAAAGGCTTCATTGAGATTAGAAAAGTATTCCATTACTTAATTTGATACTTTGATGTTTTTTCTTCAAAATTTTTGGTTTTCTTTCATATAAGTTGCGCATGCACGTGGCGCACATTTAATAAGAGGATGAAAATTGTATAAAAGAATAGTAGAACAAAAGCACAGTATCCTTAATTGTCTAAGATTACATTTACCAATTATCATTAAATAAAACTATATAAAGGTTATTTCTTGACTTGTTGAAACAAGGAAATACTAGTTGCAGAACCTTTTTATAGCCCTGATCACATTCTAAAAGGATCAGAATTTGAACTAAAGGATAAATTCAACAAATTTCAATTATGGGATTCGGCCGACAGTTATTTCCCAATGGAGCTGGGCCATCTAGATTAATAGCAGAAATAATTGTGGCCTTCCATTTTGTGTCTCTCCAAAAATACACTGTAATTAATAATGGACGCTATGCCTTTCCAGTGTATTATTCCCCTTAATACAAGTATAATAAATATAATTTTTGAGTAGTAATTGTCCTTTATATTCATTAAAAATTCAGCAAGTAAATGCGCTTTTGCTCTAATCGATTTTTGTTCTCGAATAACTATAAATTTGATAATTGAAACAGGACATCAAAAATTCTGCATTTTTAAATAAAATAATAAAGTTTATGTAGAATATAAGAAGGGTGAAGGAAAATACTTTGGCTTGAAAAAAAAGGAGAGGCAGTATTCACTTCCGGTGTTTATGGTTTCCTACACTGCTTGATTTTATGTGGTCTCTATATATTTTTTTGTATTGTATTTTGTATTTTTGTATTCACATGTAGTCGTAACTGTCACCCGCGTGATGCAGTGGTTAGAGTGCCTGCTCTAGAGTCGCGGAGTAAAGGAGTTCATCCTTACTGTATGACGTGGAGACCAGTTCTTCGGATGAGACCGTATAAACCGAGGTTCCGTGACGCAGTAGGTGCTGGCACTAAAAAGATCCCTCTCTGCTCAATGGCTCTAAGTGCCGAGCATAGGACAAAATTTGCAGGTCTCCACAGGCATGCTGTGGCGTCTCTATATGAGTGAAAATTCTCGAGAGGGACGTTAAACAACATACAAACAAACATATACAAAACTGAATTTGTAGAACATATAAAAAGGTATTGAGGTTCTGGCCATTAATATCATAGAGTGGCGATCCTTCAAAGATGTCTATGGTGTTTCAGCCTTGAGATTTCAAACAATATTAAACTGTATATAATAGTAAAGCAGATGATGTAGTCTACAATGAAAGAAAATGGGATTTTTAAAAAAAATGACAATTATACAATTTATAGTAAAGTTATTTTTTGTTTGTTTGTTTGTTTGTTTTGGTATTACATGTATTTTCATCATGGTATGAAAAGGCGTATGAGCCCATTGTTACATGCAAATTTAGGATGTTTATTTGTTCTTCGGAGAACGATATCAGCATTGATTTCAATCAAACTGAGAGGTTTACATTGTATGAATGTATGTTTTGTTCTTTTTTTTCTTACTATCCATTTTTTAAAAAAGTTATCTGCACCAAAACATTTCCCTAGTTTATATTGTTTTGTACATTTTTAAATACTCTTATCGTCAATTAATATACTTACGGTACCCACTTTAGGGCAGTTTTAAAATAAACCATAGACACAAGAATTCCTGAAAGTTCAAAATATCATGCCCTCACTAATCCTTACAAAGTAAAGGGTCCTAGGTCTACATAAGATCGTGGGACCCCTAAAACTAGTTCCTCTCTATCTATCTCTCGGTTGTTGTTTTTTGGCTTTGTATTTTTTTGGCCGGCTTCTCTCACTAAGAAGCAACAATGGAATAGAATTAGGCTTTTATAATTCAAATTGAAAAGTTAGTAGCTGACTCCTCAATGAACGTGTTACAGGTTGTTCGTCACCAAAGAAAAACAATTTAAAGATTTGCAAATTTTCCCAAAACACGTCACTGCAGTCAGTCCGTAAAAATGGAATGAAGTTTGTCAGAGATTCCACAGCCAAAAGTGGACTGGACACCCCTGAGGATGTGGGGAGGATCCACACTAACCTAGGTGTGTCATTCACTTAATAAGATTTCTTTTTTTCTTCTCATTTATGAATTATAGGAAACTTTATTTAGCATAAAGGTATTATAATTATTTTTTCCAATGTACAAAAAATGTACATGTACATGTATGTGTTCAAATGGGCCTTTCAGAACCAAAACTCAAAAAGTTTGGCATATTGGATGTTGATGGTTGGAAGTGTATTATTTTTTTAACTGATCTAGGAAAGTAAACTAAATGACATTCTCCATAGAGCAAGAAGTTATAACTTGGTATTTAATAACTGCTAGTGTTGACATTTCTTTCTTGCGAAAGTTATGACTTCGGATAAAGGGGTTTGGATCTGCAACAATGCATAACAATATGTCTATGAATAAGATACAATTATGTCCTACTTCACTGAGCTTTTCATGCTAATGAGTTCGGATTATACTTGTATTAATCACGGACATACACAAAAGTTACGGATTAGGCGCGGGAAAACGATAACTAATGAGAAACTTACACGTTACAGTAGAACAAACAACACGTCTTCATCCTTCAGGCACCCATTTTTATAGACATTTGTAAAGTACATTCTTTTTTAGTTGTCTTTTACATTCATAGCTTGAATAAAAAAATAAAAGGGTCTGCGGATGAAGTAGAATGCATTCATGTTAACCAAACAAATGCATACAGGGAATAAAACTAGTAAATTCAATGAAACCATCTCTTGGGGTTTATTGTTGCGGTTGATAGTTCAAAAACCAGACCCCTGACCTGTAGTCACGTAGAACTGTAAAACAATGTTGTTGTTCAAAAAAGAAAGAGTATATATTTTAACATAATTAGATGATATTCAATTTTCAAATCAATTTAAATCATAGTTTAATTGTACATATTGTTAAATGTGGATATCATTATTCGCTCGTAAATCTACCAAAAATCCTGTTTCACGTGAAAAAATAAATTCCATGTCCATATTCCCGTTTTATAAAATATATTGAATATCTATACTCAAACCAAAAGGATTCATGAATGAACCAAATTAGAACCAAACTACATTTGATTCTGTATATTCTGAAGAATAAAGTTCTTATATCAGCATGATGTGTCACCCTAATCTAGTGTCACCCTAATACTCATATAAAAAAAAATTTTGTGTTCAATTTTGTCCCTTCTAGCCGTCCATTTCTTGAAATAAAAAAAAGCTGTGAATATTGATATTTAAGATGGATGCAAATTGAAGGTCTCATAACTTTGAACAATTAGATAGCTTTATTTTTACTTTTGTACATTACGTCTACTTTAAACCTATTTGAATAATTTGTAATTTCGCTAAAAAGCGGCGAAACTCTCTTGCATATTGTTTCCTTAGCCTAATTCAATTTGTGGTCGACTGACCCCCCAAAGACAAATTACAACCTCATTTTGATCGACCTATTGCTTATTGCAGAATCAGGCTAGCACAATTGCCTAGTATAATAAGAAAAACACCATGAGAATAGGGCGTGCATTTGACCAACGGGATTTGAATTCTAGATCTATCTTTGGATTTCTTGGAGCTTACCAAGTATTAATATTGTATCGTAAAATAGAGTCAGGACCTTGGTTATGTGATTTGATGAACCCATTCGCAAAGTTCATGTTATACTAATATGTAATACGGAGATGAATTGAGATAATTCGACTAAGTATGGATGGTACTTTCAATAGCACACAATTGAGGCCTAATGGCTACGTTATATGCGAAGAAGTATAATAATTCCTTATTTGTCAATATTTAGGGCATGGTCAATTGGTACACATTGAAATGTTAATGATTATATTATCATCTGCAAAAAATAGAAGATTAAGATTTATTTTTACTGTTCTTTCAAATTTAACATACAATGAAAGTGGAAGACAAAACAATAATAAAACATAAAATTTGAGCTGAAAAAAAGTCTAGAAATACCTCTTAACACTTATATCTCTGATTGAAATATTTTCTTTAAGATATAACAAATATAATAGTTTCTTTTTACAAGCAGATGATAAACTTACCGTCATTGTGTGTGTCGTCTGCTGTTGGTTCCCGCGCAGGTGTAATGCAATGAATCAGTGATGTCATTTTCAGATTGCCGTCCCTTTATATGCCAGCTGTCAGTCTCAGCAGCCACGCCGTCACTTGTAGCAAAGAGGTGGGATTGCTGAAGGGCAAGATTCGATTTTTATGGATTTGACAATTTGAATCAACACGAGGGATTTCTAATGGATGTTAATCATTAAACGTTTCATAATTCGTTACATCTCTTGATGAAACAGTCTCATGGGTGATGAGCGAAATCATGCTCTTTCTATCTCTGTATTGATTTGAAGAGGGATAAATTTCGGATTTGTTAAAGTTGTCATGAAGAGCAAAATTGCAATATTGTAAACTTGTTGAAATCTTGTTATTTTATGGCCCCTCGTGACCGGGTATCATTGAAACCAAATTTGTTGTTTTGTTGAACAGCATCTACTAAAGGACTTTTACATGATATTACTCATGAAGTATACATACGTCATTTCATTGTGGCAGGTCTACCCTCTCTGAAATCTGAAGTAGTAATTTTTTAAAGGTCCTTTTCTTCATTGGACATTATAGCATTTTTTAAATTAATAATTTTGATATTCACGTTCACGAAAATTTATCAAAACTGCCTCAACTTAGAAATACTCAAACATTTTTAAAAAGAAGACTATTTTTCTATTTTCATTATTGTTCGTTAAATTTGTGTTGTTCAGTGCTTGGACTTATCTATTGGGATTTTAGACTGTTGTTAATTTGGACCATTAAAACTAAATTAGATATCCTGCTGAGATTTAGTGATCCTCCACAACGAAGTTTAATAGTGACTGAACGTGTATAAATGTGAAGGACAAAGCTCATAGCAAGATAAACTATTATCCAATCTGGTTATATCAATAATCCGTATGATTGAAATTGCAATAAGCATTTGGAATAAGCCTTTCATAGACTGAATACATGAGAGCATCAAAAAAAAAAAAAGGAAAAGAAAAGAAATAGTGGTACGTTAATCAAAGGAACTCGAAATTAAAGACCATTAAACAGGATACACAAGTATATGTATGTAAGTGTATGTCACTCAAAGTGAAAGAGATATATCATTTCCCGATCATGACAAGGAGCACACGGCTGGTGTGACCGGTCGGCAGGGGATGGTCACTCCCCCATGGTACTTGATCCCACCTCTGATGTTTTTGAGGTCGGTGTTTGCTCTGCTCCGAATTTGTATTGTTTTATGGACTCTGATCTTGAATACTGTTCTTTATCTCCATATATTATTTTTATCATTTATTCCAAGCTCTCCGATTGGCTAAAACTTGATCACGTGATTAAGTATATAACAGCATAAAGACTTGAGTTACTATTTATAGAATCTGAAATGCATATCGAATTGATGTTTCTTAAAATGGAGATTATATTTTCTGTAAAACAAAAATAATACTGATTTCACAATTATAGCTAATACACTGTATGACTTGATGTTTCTCAAAAAATATATACTTCATCTTGTAATTAATATTTTTTAATGTTCTGTAATTAATGAAACATAACAATTTCATGAATTAGGATCTACTTTGTATTGAAACATATTGAATATGTTTGTCAAAAATTGATACAGATAAATGTAGTATTTAGAATTAGTAAATCCTCTAAATTACTTCATCAGTATAAAGGTTACAAAATTACATTAAACAGCTTAATTTATTTTGATCTCTAGTCTCTAAAAGTTAAAGAGAGAAAACTTGTGCCTTGTTCCCATTATTTTCAAATTGTATTTTGTTAATCTATGTAAAAATAATATAACAAATGTAGCCCTTTAATTCGGTCAATCCATAGATATATCGACTTCACAGAAAAGCATATCGTGCTCGGTCGGATTGGATTCATCAAAGGGCTATATTTATATAATGTTTCATTCATAAGTGAAAAAAAGAGAAATCCTTTAAGTTAAGAGATATCTTTCTCAACGAATGAGATATATATCAAAAGTGAAAGAAATATCTCTTTATGTGAAAGAGAAATCTCTCTATGTAAAAGAGATATTTTTCTCATTGAAAAAGATACCTATTTCTGATCGAGAAAAAGATTTTTTTTCTGAGAGAGACATTTCTTTTAGTTGAGAGATAACTCTGTTTTAAAAGAGATACCACTGTTTTAAAAGATATATCAATGTTTTAAACGTTATATCACTGTTTTAAAAGAGATATCTCTCTAAAGTATGAGAGAAATCTCTATAATTTCAAGAGATATCTGAAAGCAAAAGCGCTTGTCAGAATTGTTCGGTAATACTGTGAAATCACTGATTTTCGTGGGGGTTAATTTTCGTTGTTTTCGAGGCATGGAAAGACCCACGAATTCATGACCACCACGAAATGTAAAACTTCATATGCATTATTACTAAACATACTCCAACCAACCACAATCCAATATCTCGGAAAGGGTAAAAAATTTGACCCCTCGAAAATATGTGATTTCACAGTAAAATGTAAGGGCAGTTTACGCTTTATAAACCGCGAAGCGGTTTATAAAAAAGTGCAAACTGCCCCAAGTTATGTTATATAGTATAACATAAGTTGAAATAAGCTTCATTCCTTATAATTTAATTTCAATGAAGACAATGAGATAATTTTTCCATTTTTTACACTCTTTTATAAACCGCTTCGCGGAAACTGCCCTTAGTTATGTTATATCGTATAACAAAAGTTGAAATAAGCTTCATTCCTTAAATATTAGCAATTCTGCTGTTATATGTTATATAACAACATAATGATATATTTTTTTTATGATTATTCACATAAATTCACTTACACATCACATTTATATGCCCTATAACTTTGAAAACAGAGACATGAAGATCAAATGAATACGTTTTGTATGCCCCCCTAATCGAGGATTCGGGGGTATACAGTTTTTGTCCTGTCCGCCTGTCTGCCTGTTTGTCCACAAACAAATTAACCTTGTCTATAACTTTTGATGGGGTGGGGCTATTGCTTTCATATTTCACAGGTGTTTTACTTCTTTTAAATATACTTTTTCCCATAATAAAATCAACGTTTCCATAACGGATCCAGCAGGATTCGAATAGAATATAAAGTGATTATGTGGGTAGCTGCTATTTTATGAACGAGCTCTTCTTGTGTTAGGAACTCCTTGCTTTATAATTTAAGCGAAGTATAAGCAGTTGTTGGCTTATGAAGAGATTCAATTGCAGAATTACTGTTGTTTGAAATAATTTTGCTGAAATGCGTTCTGAGACACTGAAAAATATTTGTTGATTTATTGGTTTACCTTTGGGATATTTTTTCACAATCCTAGAATTTATGAGCTTTCTTCTATTAACGCAGAATGTTTGACATTTTTATTTCCGCTAAAACAAATTATTTATCTTTCAAAATTCATCTAAGAGCTCCTGAGAATTATGAGGGGATTTTATATTAAAGATAATTGCTGATATAAAACATTTTTTTTTTACAGTTGATATTAATTTTTAGTGGGAATTTCAATTTAAAAGATAGAAAACACGTGTTTCCAACATATTTGCTTAACTTTGGATTTGTCGACTAAGACCACGCCCTTTGACATTATCTACATTTCTATGACACAGGTTCTCAATTGCTCTTCTGGACTGGACTTTTTTAGATATAAATCAATTAATGTGTATGTGTAAACCTCATGTTTGAATCGGATTAAATCATCTACGTTCAGAGTTAGATGCTTTAATCGGATTCAAAAATCAGAGTTTGACTTTGAAAAAATACTTGCATGTATGTGCAGTATACTATCTGAAAGAGTTAGTACTTGTATAACAAATCAATTATAGTTGTATATAACTATATATACAAAATACGTCTTCAATGTTTGGTATCAAAATCACTGTACGCCTCTGATTCAATTAGTGTGTAAAACAAGATGGGGTTTGTGAAACACTGAAGTCTCCGTAAGGCAGTCTATAGTGAAAGTTCCCTATGTCCAAGATCAAGATATCAAAAAAGGCTTGTCCCATAGTACATCAGGGGCGTAGCAACAGGGGGGGCTAGGGGGGGCCTGGCCCCCCCAATTTTTTTCCCAACCTTACCTATACTATAGCAAATGTTAATTGAAAACCTGGTGCCCCCCCCCCCCAGTTTTAGTGATGTACCGAAAATGAAGTATTAGAATTGGTAATTGGTACTGAAAGTAGTTGACACTGAAAAAAAGTTAGCCTCTAACCCCCCCCCCCCCCCCCCCCCCACGAAATAGGATTTTCGACTTTGAGCAACTTTCAACTGTTCCCTTTTTTTTTTTTTTTGCTTGTCAACTTTTTCAGGTAAGTAAAAAAGATTTTTTTTCTCCGGCTGGTCCCCCCACTTTCAAAAACGATGCTACGCCACTGGTACATATGTGAAATATAAACACTTCAGCAAATACTATTCAAAAGCTCTGACAAAGGGTTGTATTTTAAAAGAAAATTGACTCCAAGGTAAAGGTCAAAAGATCAAAATTGTTGGTATTCGAAGGAAGGTCTTGTCATAAAAAACACCTGTGAAATATTAAAGCCCTAGTTCTATTTTTGTCCCCCGCTTGAAAAGTGGGGGATATTAATTTGGGTTTGGCCGTCCGTCCGTCCGGCTGTCCGGCCGTCCGTCCGTCCGTCTTTCTGTCTGTCTGTAACGCTTTCGTTTCCACACGATATCTCGAGAACCCTTTGAGCTTTTGCAATGAAATTTAGCATAGCAACTCCCTATGGACTAAAAAAGACCCCTATTGATTTTGAGGTCAAAAGGTCAAAGGTCAAGGTCATAAATAAGCAAATTCTGTCTGTTATAACACTTTCGTTTCTACACGATATCTCTAAAACCATTTGAGCTATTGCCATGAAATTTTACACAACAACTCCATGTGGCCTAATGAAGACCCCTATTGATTTTTGAGGTCAAAAGGTCAAAGTTCAAGGTCGTAAATTTATACATTCTGTCTGTGTGTAACACTATCATTTCCGGGCGATATTTCAAGAAGATTAATTTTGAGCTTATGCAATATAATTTTATACTAAAACTCCCTAGGACCTCTCTCAGCCCTCTCAAAGTGCCCCGCCCCGTTTGTTTTATTAGTATTTATAGTATTACATGTCGCTATTTTTAGCACAGGGGCATGAGGAGAGTTATTGCGTATAAAACAGGTTCTCGGCGGACTGTATGTTCTTATTACATCTATTAGAACTGTTTAATAAAGGCTAAATAAATCAAACACCATGGATTGTATAAAATTTTGAGAATACCGAACATGAATATATACATGTATGTGACTTCAGACCTGCATATACTGATTTGTACTTCCAGCGATTCCGTGCTTTCGCTTCACATGTGAGAGGTCCCGGGATCGAATCTCGGTCGATCCTTTATTTTTTTTTTTTTAAAGATACTTTTCTTTTTTTTTTTTTACTGAATGATAGTATTCAGCATGTGAAATGAAAAATTTATGAGGTTATAAAATCATCATTACAGTGTGATAAATATTCCATATAAAAAGAATCTTCTATACACATAATAAAGAATAAGCAATCAAATCTTTATATGCATATTGACATACATGTATTTTATTTGCTTCAGTATGCATGTATACTTTTAATAATTCTACAAATTCAGTCAGGGGGATCCAACTTTTTCCCTAAGCGGGGGACATGAATTCTCTGAATTAGCTTGTTTCAAAAGTTATGGACAGTGTTCAAGTTTTTGATGTGTGTCAAACTCAAATGCCAAGGTCAAAAATACATTAATCAAAGGAAATGCTTGCCACAATAAATAACAAAAAGTACGAAAGCCCTAGCATTAATTATACAAAAGCTATGGTCAATGATAAAGTTTGCTCATTTTTTTTGTGCAAAAGTTGATCAAAATTCAAAGTGTAGAGGTAAAATTTATTCATACTCAGGGAAATGTATTGTTGCAAGTGAAATATTAAACCCATGCCTTTGCCCCAACCGATCAAAAGTGATGGGTAAGGACAAACAGACAGCCAGACAGAAAGACGGGCGGACCGACGGACATAGCATTAACCATATACCCCCGAATCTTCGATTACAGGGACATAAAAATCTGATTGAACTATTTAAGAGGTTCAAACTAAATGCTGGTTGATAAGAATTACCAGCATGGTTTATGCCTTGTGCACTACCTGGTGAACTTTCTCGGTCAAAGGATTCATTAATTCTAGCCAACAGCCCTGTTGTCGGTAACGAATACTATTTACATGTAGAAGTTAATTCAGAGATCCTTCCAAATATGTTGCAATAATTTCTCATGGGAAATAAGTAATAATTACTTGCTCATTCATGACTTCTATCCTTGTTTACATTCTCTGTTGTTTATTTTTACTTGATTTTGACCAGACAAATAAAGCCATTCAACCGGGTTTTTTTAGATGGTTTGGATGTATGAAACGCTATATACCATATACACAATAAATAATAATAATATAATACCGGTAATAATAGAGACCTTTTTCTTGCCGTCTGCAATCTATAGTAATATGGAGATTCATATTGGGTTTTTTTCACATTTCACCAAATATTTTTTTCTGGTTTATGCCGTTTTTGTAGCTGAAAAATGCGAACAGGAAAAGATCTGAATGTCTACGAAAATAAACATTAATATTTATAAATTATCATTCTAGATAGCGTTTTTATATTATATCCCATGGACGTTTGTCTTCGTTTTGAGACTCAAAATATGTCAGTACCAATAAATTATCCCTGAATAATACAATAATACTTTTTATTACAAAAGGATCAATAATGCTAGAGAATTGAACTCTTTAGAGAGTTTAAGTCGTAACAGAAATTTATAGTTAATGGGCATTGATAAGGAAATGCACGTTGAATCTGTTCAGATTTAATATTCACATGTACGACGTATCTTTTTGTGTATTAATATACAAATATTTTCTCAGTTGCACAAATAAATAAATTGGCGAATCGCAAAAAGCAATTCTGCAAATAGATGGATTCATCTTGGTTCTCTGAGTAAAAAATGTGACCGTTGACCACTTGACATACAGAGCATTTGACAAAACACATTATCTGACGAAAAATAAACAAAACACCTGTATTTTGAGTTTTAAAGATGGCATGAAGAATATTGACATATAATTCATATAATTATGTCTTTATTACTTTTTCCCCGAGATAATTGATATTTTATTTATTTAGTGTTGCTTTGCTTTTGGGATCGTTTACTGCCGAGTTCATTTGGTGTATTAATTTCCTAAACCTTGGACAAAGAAACGATACTATATTATAGCTGTTTTTGTGGGCAATACAATGATTTAGCCATCTAAGGTGTACAGTATTCAGCGAGCACGAAGGAATCTAAAAACAGGAATAAATGTTTTATTTTATGATTCAATAAATAAATACAACTCATTAACTTCATGTAATAGTACATTAACTGAAGTCCTAGAGACTAGAGCCAAAGGCAATGAGAGAAGCGAGGTAAAAATAAAAATTAAAAGTAGTAATAGGAATACCGGTTATTCGGAATTTTAAAATCTTTTTGGTGACATGTAAAAAAAAATGTCAAGAACTTATATCTCATTGATTTTTAAATTATACGGGGTTACGAGAGGAAAAAATATAACTTACTCGATGAAAACACCCCCCCCCCCCCTCCCCAAATGGAGAGAATTATCCCAACTCAAATTTTAATTCTGGATATGTGGCAGTGGGGTCATTAGCGGGCGGGGGATTGGGGACAGTCTTTCAACGAACAGGGTTTTTTTTATACTAAAAATAAAAATTTACATCAAGAAGAAATATTAGGAGTTGCAGGAAGCTCTGCACTACCCCCGACCCCATTGCTCTATGAATTTTATGTTCATCAGAGTCAATATTACACCATATCAACATATACATATATTATCTTACAAGTCAATATACTCCTTAGAATTTATAAGTTAAAAACGACGTTTTACGTTTTACGATGGCAGTTTCCTCTGCAAAGTACATTTTACAAAGAAAGTTGTTTTTTCAATACACTCATTTTCTTTTCAAATACATTTTAACTGCCGTCAAAAGGACATGTTAATTACTGTTATATTAAATCTCCTGTGTGTGAGTTAGACAGCATAGTATGTGCACTTACGCTGTTTGATACACCACTGGGAGTAAGCAACGATTTCAATATCTAGTTATCGTGAAAAACCTCTTTCCCAGGATTTCTTTTAATTATAAATTTATTCGATGGAAAGAGTAAATTGTCTTCCAGTAGGATTTGAGGGGGTTTTTCTACATGCAAACTCATTTCTGGTGGGAAAGTCGCCTATGAGAAAAAAAGTACCTATGTCTATTTAATACATTAAAACGGTGAGATAACGATAGAGTGATGAAAATACCAACTTCGAACTGGAATTAACTTTATGTTATGTCATACCAATCATTCCTATAGAAGTAGACGGCAGTACAATACTACCGTTTTATAAATGCTGTTCTTTGATCCATTAAGAATGATTGGATATACACAAAAATGAAATTAATAAAAAAAGAAATAACAACGAAAAATTCAAGTACATAGGAACCCCATTCACAAACTGTCGAAACTTGCAAGGAAACACAATTTTATGACATCACAATACAGTTTTCTAAGTGACGTCATAATAGTTGCCTTGTTGGTAAGTGTTTTACATTGCATTTTTAGATTAATTTTAAAATAAATGTAAAAAATCTTTATGTTCAAAACATTTGGTAAAAAAGCAAAACGAAGATATCTTTTGCGACGATTCCTATTACATAATACAATGCATATGTATATTAATTAATCTTTGTCCAGTGAATTTAGCGAAAATGTAAACCTAACGTCAAACATTTTATTTAAAAAAATTGATATCTTACAGGTACGAAATGTATAAATTAAAAATCTACACGATAGATCGTTACTTGAAAATGAATTGATGCTTTAAATTTGACTTCTTACTTTTTATGCCCCCGTAAACGAAGTTTCGGGGGTATATAGTTTTTGTCGTGTCCGTCCGTCTGTCTGTCTGTCTGTCTGTCTGTCTAGCTGTTTGTCTGTCTGTCTGCTTGTCCGTAAAAAACTTTAAACTTGCCCATAACTTTTGATTTAGTGGAGACATGACTTTCATATTTCACATGTGTATTCCTTTATGTTTTACCGAGACCCATTTAAATGAACTAGTAAACACAGAGAATTTAACAATTAAGGGTTACAATACTCCATTTAGATTAGACAGAACTAGTCATGGCGGCGGAATCCTTATTTATATAAGAGAAGGCTTAGTCGCTCTGAGACGCCGTGATTTTGAAAATGCGTTTGATGAAACAATATGGGTTGAAATTAAGTTAAAATCAAAAAGTGTTTTTCTATGCACCATCTATAGACCTGAAACATCCAAGGTTGAATTCTGGAACCGACTTGAGATCTCAATCGGAAGGGCTCTAGATGAATCTAATAATTTAGTATTAAATGGTGATTGGAATATAGATTTCAGTAAAAAGCTTCCAACCAACGTAAATGATCTAATTATGTTCCCCAAACGAAGTTGGGGAACATATTGTTTTTACTCTGTTTCTTATTATGTTCCCCAAACGAAGTTTGGGAACATATTGTTTTTACTCTGTTTCTTATTATGTTCCCCAAACGAAGTTGGGGAACATATTGTTTTTACTCTGTTTCTTATTATTATTATTATGTTCCCCAAACGAAGTTGGGGAACATATTGTTTTTGCTCTGTTTCTTATTATTATTATTTTTCTTCTTCTTCTTCCTGGGTACTTTTTTGTCCGGGAATGATCTCGTAAACTATACATCCGACTAAGGTGAAATGTTTTTAGGGTCAGTAGACATGTTATGTAGATTTGCGGAACGAAGGTCATTTTGCGCGCACGTGCTTGCAAGAGCGTGCACGTGCAACATGTGAAATGACCGATTTAATTGATATAGGCGTAACTTTTTAAATTTTCGATGAAATGCTTTGAAACTTATAACATAAGGATATATTAGTAGCATAGACAATATGACATGGTCAAAAGAGCAAGATCTCACGCGCATGCACGTGCACTTTGCTCTGATTGGCTGAAACTAAAGTCTCTATATCTTTCTTGTTTTTTGAAGAAATCCTTTGAAATTTTGAAAATTGCCATGCATTAGAATATCCTACAACATGATATATAGCAATTATTATGAAAACACGTGCATGCACGTGCGCTGCAATCTGATTGGCTTAAAATTTAAATAGCTATAACTCCTTTGATTTTCAACCAAACAGGATGGGATTTGGAACATAGATAGATATACTGGTCTGCTACAAGAAAATATGGTCACCATACACATGCATACACGTGCATGTATGTGCGCTGCAATCTGATTGGCTGAAACTTTAAACAGCTATAACTCCCTTGGTTTTCAACCAAACGGGCTGGGATTTAGAACATAGATAGATGTAACGGACATCTACAAGAAGGTATAGTCACCATGCTCATGTATGCACGTGCGTGCACGTGAAACGGGTAAAATAAAAAATACACTTGAATGAGCGTTTTTTTTTTATACTTTTGGATTAAATACTTTAATACATGTATTTAGTATATCAAAATATATAGATTGTTTGAACAAGATGATATGGTCATTACGCACATGCATTCACATGCGCACACGTGCAATGCTAAAATTTGAATGAACTTGGCGTTGTTAAAGTCAAAAATGCATAGATTTTGTCCTATTTAATGAATGAATATGAGGGAATATGGCACCAAAAGGGAGTTGGGGAGCGTTTGGGGAACATCTGTAACGGTCCCCGTTACAATTAGCACTAGTTATTATTATTTTTCTTCTTCTTCCTGGGTACTTTTTTGTCCGGGAATGATCTCGTAAACTATACATCCGACTAAGGTGAAATGTTTTTAGGGTCAGTAGACATGTTATGTAGATTTGCGGAACGAAGGTCATTTTGCGCGCACGTGCTTGCAAGAGCGTGCACGTGCAACATGTGAAATGACCGATTTAATTGATATAGGCGTAACTTTTTAAATTTTTGATGAAATGCTTTGAAACTTATAATATAAGGATATATTAGAGGCATAGACAATATGACATGGTCAAAATAGCAAGATCTCACGCGCATGCACGTGCGCTTTGCTCTGATTGGCTGAAACTAAAGTCTCAATATCTTTCTTATTTTTTGACGAAATCCTTTGAAATTTTGAAAATAGCCATGCATTAGGATATCCTACAACAAGATATATAGCAATTATCATGAAAACACGTGCATGCACGTGCGCTGCAATCTGATTGGCTTAAACTTTAAATAGCTATAACTCCATTGATTTTCAACCAAACAGGATGGGATTTGGAACATTGATAGATATACTGGACTACTACAAGAAAATATGGTCAACATGCACATGCATACACGTGCATGTAAGTGTGCTGCAATCTGATTGGCTGAAACTTTTAACAGCTATAACTCCCTTGGATTTCAACCAAATGGGGTGGGATTTAGAACATAGATAGATGTAACGGACATCTACAAGAAGATATGGTCACCATGCTCATGTATGCACGTGCGTGCACGTGAAATGAGCAAAATAAAAAAAAAACACTTGAATGAGCGTATCTTTTTCATACTTTTGGATTAAATGCTTTAATATTTAGTATATAAAAATATACATGTATAGATTGTGTAGACAAGATGATATGGTCATTACGCACATGCATTCACATGCGCACGCCAAATTTGAATGAACTTGGTACACTTCTGGGTAAACGTTGTTAAAGTCTCAAATGCATAGAATTTGTCTTATCTAATGAAGCTTACAGGGAATATGGCACGAAAAGGGAGTTGGGGAGCGTTTGGGGAACATCTGTAACGGTCCCCGTTACAATTAGCACTAGTTATTATTATTATTATTCTTTTTTCTTCTTATTTCTTCTCCGGTACTTTTTTGTCCGCGAGTGTTCTCAGAAACTGTTCACCCAACTGAGCTAAAACCTTTTTAGGGTTAATAGGTGTGTTGTGTAGGTGTGCGGAACGAAGGTCATTTTGCGCGCATACGCCTGCACGTGCGGGCGCGTGAAATGACTGAAATGACTAATATATTTAATATAGCCATAACTTTAACATTTTCCGATGAAATGCTTTGAAACTCATTATATAAGGATATATTAATAGTGTAGATAGTGTGACACTGTCAAATTAGCAAGAACTCACGCGCATTTACGTGCGCTTCGCTCTGATTGGCTGAAACAAAAATCTCAATATCTTTTCCGTTTTTTGACGAAATGGTATGAAATTTAAAATATAAGCATACTTTAAGATGTCCTACAACATGATGTATAACATTTGTCATGAAAGCATGCGCATGCACGTGCGCTGCAATCTGATTGGCTTAAACTTCAAATGGCTGTAACTCCCTTGTTTTTCAACCAACCACGATAAGATTTAGAACATAGACAGACACAATAGACTCCTATAAGAAGTTACGGTCATCATGCACATGCATGCACGCGCATGCACGTGCGCTTTGCTCTGATTAGCTGAAACAAAAATCTCAATATCTTACTTGTTTTTTGACAAAATACTTTGAATTTTAAAACATAATCATACCTTAATACGTCCTAAACTATGATATATAAAAGTTTTCAAGAAACCACGCCCATGCACGTGTGCTGCGATCTGATTGGCTTAAATTTTAAATGCCTATAACTTTTTTGATTCTCAACAAAACAGGATGAAATTTAGAATATGAATAGATATGACGGATTCTTACATTATGCTACTATCAAACTTGAATGCAAGGACTTGCATGCACGTGTGCGCGCGCAATGCGTTAAATGACCGATTTACTTGATATAGTCGTAATTTTTTTTATGAAACGTTTCAAAATTCAAAGAATAGAAACACATTAAAAGTGTAGTCACGATGATATAGCTTTCATGCATTGCACCTTCGCGCGCGTGCAATGATCAAATGACTTATATACTTGATATGGCCGTTACTTTTATATTTCTTTATGAAATGCTTTGATTATTAACCTTTTTACCTTTGACCCCTTGACCCAAAGGTCACAATCCAGCTCAAGTTCGTAGATGTATTTACAAACTCACTTTAACAAATGCTTAGAATAAAAAAGTCAACCCCCCCCCCTTCTCCTTAAAAAAAAAATCAATAACAACGTAGAAAATTTCTCTGAAACTCGATCAACACCTGGGATCGACATAAAATTTCACTTAAGGTGCAGAAAAGACTTCATAGAAAGTTTCCTGAAAGTTTTACGGTAAGTCTCTAAAGTATATAGAAATTATGAATTTTTATGGCAAAAATTACAAATTCTGTCGTGTTTGAAATTTAAGTGCAGACGAACAAAGATATGATATAAACCTTTTAAAGCCTATTTCTCCAGATGTCGTTAATAGCATTCAATTCTACTGATATGAATTAATATTTTAATACCAAGCATTCTTCTTTTATTTCACCATTGAAATTTATCTGAATTTTTTTTAGAATTACACAATCCCCAGAAATAGCGAGTTTCGGTATATTAAAAAGCAATACACGTTTCTTTCCAGTAAAACCTCACGTGTTTGAATTCATGAAAAAATATTGATAAGGGGGTGTTAAACAATACCTGTCACATTAGCTGACACCAAAAAACC